CCCCAAAACCCCAAAACCCCAAAACCCCAAAACCCCAAAACCCCTAAAAATTATGAATTTATTGAAAATAGCCTATTTTGGAATATTACCTAATCATTATTGGAGAGAAGATTTTCAGGGATGTATCCAGGAGCACTCTCCAACTTTTTGTTTAAATCTTTCAAAGTTTGCTCTTTCTTCATCTCATACATAATAAGGTATCCTGCCATCTGGTCGTTAAGTTTGATTTTGGTACTCTTGACTTCCTCCAAGGTAAGGTATGCTTCTCTATATTTCTCCCTTTTGTCATAGTAATCCTCTTGAATCATGTTCTTGAGATTCTCTGAATTTCCTATTTTGAATTCAATTTCAAGGAGATCTTTTTCAAGTTGCTCAATTTCAAGTTTCTTTTGGTCTTTCTTTTTAATAGAGCTTTTGCCTCTATTTTTGGATTTTCCAAACCCTAGCTTTTCCTTGAATGTTTTCTTTCTCTTCTTTTTCTCTTCAAACGAGTTTTCTTTAGCTGTGAGAACTGAGTTAGTGTCTTCATATTTTATACTCTGATGCTTGACGCTAGAGGATGAGAAATCTTTAAAAAGGTAAGGATCTTGTAAACCCTCGCTATTGACTTGAATGTTGAGATGCTCTTTCTTCTCTTTTTTCTTCTTGGACGTAAAGAGTCTTTTGAACTTGCTCTTTTTCTTCTTTTCAAGGTTACATCTCATTTTTAAAGCAACTGATTCCAAAGCTATGAGTGTCAGCTGAAGTTCTTACCTTTCTTACTGTCTCTGTGCTGATGAAATTGCTCTTTGATGTCTTCATACTCCATTTTACAAGCAAGCATGATCTTCTCTTGACTTTTGATGTCTTTGTCAGCCTCTTCAATCTTGTTCTGGAATCTGATGATGTCTTGTTTAACATGGGGTTCTGTCTTCTGCAAAACTTCTTTGGCCCATTCGCATGCATCCTTTTGCTCTTTGGCAAGAGTCTCATCTTTCATTGTCATCTTTAACTTGGCTTGTTCGACAATGAACATTGCTATAGGGTTAGAGTTGAAAGCTACATTTGAAGTGTTCAGTGTCTTCAGGGAGGATTGAGATTTTTTCAGCCTCAATGAGGATCTTGTCAATCTCTAGAGTGTCCTTGCGGACGGATTCGCGCAAGAATTTTGTGATCTCGAACATGTCCATTTGGAGAAGAGTGTCTTGCATAAATTTTAGTAGTGCTATTCCGATTCTATATATACTACTCCAACCATCTTGGAGGAGATTGTCAAAGATGAAGGGAATAACCTCAAACGGTAATGAGTTTGCGAAGACTGTCATTATCCATTTTGAGGTGAAATAGTCAGTGGTCATTCTGATCTTATTTAAGATGGTTGAACAGTTTTGGCAACTTTAGTCTAATCATGTGAGACATTTGGAAGTTTTTGACATGAAGTTCAGGGACTCCTGGCAAGTACATATTTTCCATATCCAGACTTTTCATCATAGCATAGAAAATCCTATAAAAGTGTCAACTTATTGAAGTTAAGATAAGTTGTTGGTAAATAGAATACTGACATACCAAAAGCTCAGCTCTTCATCTTGGAGAATAGTGAGTAAAGTTGCTGAGATGAAATTCATTCCTTGGCAATACCCAACCTCTGGGATTCAAAATGCGATAGATTCAAGATTATTTTTCAATTGCTCTAGTCCTTCTTCTTCGAGTATTTTGTCAGTTGTAAATGTTCTTGGAAGGTCTCTACCTATTTTACATATAAATAATCATTGGATCAGTTAATTCTTCGTATTTTTCGAAGTACCTACCTATTTCATTTATGACTCTGTCTTCAAGAGGAGATTCAGTCTTAATTTTCTGAATTATTCACTCATAAGCATTTTGGAAGATATTCTCGATGCCAATTCTTTCACAGACTTCATTTTGATAAGAGAAGAAGGGAACTTGTCTGATCCAGAATTTGGCTCTGAGATCTTCATCTAGGTTTCCAATTCTAACAAGTCTCTTGAGTTGTTCCTGACTAAAGATTCTTCAGAGAGATCGGCTTCATTTCTGAAGTTTTATTATATCAGAAACTTCCAGATAAAACAACAAGCAATCAAAATTGGTAAATATCCTGTCATTTGTATCAGTGACAAGGTCATTGAGGCTGATCAGCTTGTCTCATAGTTTTGACAATCCATTCTCCTTCTCTTCAGATCAGATTGTGAGGATAGGCTTAAGGTCTGGCTCCTCTTTGATTTCAGAGAGTCTCTCCTTATCAAAATAGTCCATGTTCATAGCACTGAACCTTTTCTGGTTGTTGATGATACTCTGACGGATGAACTCTTCGTCGTCTTCTGAGGCGCTGTCTTCGTCTTGCTTTGCTTCTTCACCGTAAAACCGTTTTTCAAGTTCTTTTTCTTGCTTCTCCATTTTTGCAATTATGGGAGATTTAGAGTCATCTTCAATGACATATGTGTTGGTTCTCTTCATCTTAGTCTTCATTTCTCCACTGAGTCTCAGCTCAGGTTCAGGCACTTGCTTGGCTGAGGTTGACTTGGAGTTTTTAGTAGTTTTGAGTTCTATATAAAGTCAGGAAATTCTGGAGCTCTGAGACTTACCTTTCCTTGATATAATTGTGAAGTTCTGCTCACTGTCTAGCTTAATGTCATCAGCTTTAATGAACGGGCTGCTTGAAGGGCTGATAATTTCCTCTTGGTTGTTTCAAAATGCAGAGGCTGGGAGCGTTCCCATCTGAACCACTCTAGACATCTATATTTAGCTGGTAAGATTGAGAGGAGGAGCTGGTTTGTTTATTTTTTTAATAGTTTATAGTGATTTTGGGGAGGAAAGTGGCTTGGAATTGTATAATATGCTAACATAATAATACTCACTTATTCTCAGAAAAAATTTAAATATATTCCATATTTATTTTTTTAGACGGGGTTTTGGGGTTTTGGGGTTTTGGGGTTTTGGGGTTTTGGGG